TTATATTAGTAAAATTTTAACATTTATTAATTATTTAAGGGTTGAAATATTCCTTTTTGTTATATCATAAGAATCTAGCTTGATATTTTTTAAGATTTCTCACTTATCAACTATAAGAGAATTTCATTAAACTATGTATAAATATTTTAGGATTAATACTCTTAAATTTATACTTCTGATTGATAAATATACAATAATTTTATAATTTTAATTTAGTTATATATATAATTATAAAAACATAAAATTCCTTAAATTTTCTAATTCAGTTATATAAAACACTAGATAATGAGATTCTGAATGAAAAATCAAAAAAAAACAATTGTAATTAAGAAATTTAAATAAAATTTTTAAAACATATATAAAGGTATGAAAATTATCAAATATAAATAAGTATATAATGGACCTAACTTGATATTTTGAATGGATTTAGATGCAAAATGAATTACTAAGTCCTAAATTAAAATTTAGTGAAAATTATTAATCATTGAGAAATTTGAATAAACTTTTATAAATTTACTTCTACTTTGTTTAAGGAATGATAAAAATTCTAAAACATATAAATAAACTATATTAAATATGAAATACTCGATTTAGTTGTTTTCATCCTTTTTTTGCGCAACCCATATATATAATTATAATAATCGTAATAATGTGTAATATGGTGCGTCACAACTCAGTTTAATGTTTATCAATACATAATTATATTTATTTATATATTATAAAACAATTTAACTGATTAAAAAATCCAACTAATTTTTGATATTTAATTATGATTTAAATTTATATATTGTTCTTGATCCTCAAATTTATGCCAACAACAACATAATATTACTTCATTTAGATGAATGATGACTATCAGATGTATACAGAATAATTTTAGATTAATCCAAATGATTATAATGTGAAATCATATTTTTCATATGGAATTTGGAGTAGATACACTCCATTAGGTAGAAACAATCAAGTTGGAACAATAGGAATACTTGACAGTTCATGTTTTCATCTTCACAATGCAATTGGACAATCTTCAAGATTATTAAATTTCTTAGTTTTTGATTGTCTTGAATATCCAATATAAATAATAAAAAGAAGAATATCTTTTAAAGCTTCAAATGATAAGTGGTATCATATTGAAGCAATTATAGACAATTTTTCATATGAATATGTTTGGCATTATTTTGAAATAACATCCTGGCCATTTGAATAGAAACTTTAAATAATTTTTATTTAATAAAAAAAAACAATATTAAATAAATTAATAGATGTGAGTTTTCCATACAGTGATTTAAATTTAATTTTAACTTTTGGAGGTGGTCTATATATAGATCAATATTAAAATATCCCTTCGATAGAAGAGGGGACTAAATTTTCTTTTTTTCCAGGAAAGATGTAGTTATACCCTTTATCAAATGGAGAAAACAAAAAGAAGACAGATTATTTATATGTAATTAATTATTTTTAACGAACTGAATGCATTTGCTCTTTTAATATTGAAAGTGATATACCTGATAGAGATTTAAAATTTCTATAATCATAAATATTTACATCTTAATATTCTAATTGTAATAATTTTGCTTTAAAGACATGGATTAAGATAAATAATATCAAAGCTGAAGCTTTATCATTCACATACTAATTAATGAAATTATCAGCTGTTTTTAGTAACTCAAAATTAACAAATGAAAATTTAGCAGCATTTTAATTATCTTATATGGTATCACCAATAGGAAATAAAATTCTCATAACTACTTACAGTTATACATTCCCATTAGTTAATATAGATTTTTCTGATAATCCATTTTTGATTTAAAGAGAAATAGATATTTTTAATGATATTAGACTATGGCATTATATTTCATTAGGTGTAATAGATAATGAATTTTAACTTTATATAACATTCTATGAAGATTTAATGGAATATTATTATGATATTTTTGAATCAGTGAATCATTTTCATATGGTAAGACTATAATTAGAATATGGTAATGTTTAGAAATAATCAACAAATTATCTTGATGTTTAATTTATAAATTTAAATTTTGAAAATTGTCCTTATTTCATAGATTCTTTTGCATTTTGTCATTATAGTTGTGAAAGATGCGATGGGCCTACTAGTACAAATTGTCTATCATGTTTTTAATTTTCAAATAGAATTTATTTACCTGAACACAAATCTTGTATATGTCCATATGATACTATTGATAATTATTAATGTTAAGGTTATTAAGAATTAGAATTATCTCTTAATTAGAATGATTAACCATTAACTAGATGTTAATTTGGTTATTTTTAGTTTGATAATGAATGTTTATAATGGTAATAATAATTTATATATTAGTCCATCAATAATATAAGAGAAATTTATGACATGTTTAGATTGTTTGTATAATCCAGAATCATGGTAAACTAAACTATTTTGTGAAATCAATTTATCTTTTTATGATGATGGCTAAATATCAAAATAGATAAAGGAAATAAAACAATACTTTATTTCAGATAGTAATGAAATTAATTTTTGCTCATGGTGCAATAGTTTTGATTATTCTTTATATGAAGATTATTAGTTTCATACATAAGAATTCTAATAATTATGTCTAACTACTGATATTGATAAATTATCAATAGAATAGAAATAGAAATGCTATAAATGTGATTTAGTAAATTGTCTAGTTTGCAAAATAACTCTTTTTAATTTGGAATGTATTTAATGTAAAGAGTTAATGGTATAAATAAATGGAAAATGTTAATTATCATTCTTAAACCCACAATCTTAAAGTTGTATTAAACCATATTATTTTGATTCATAAAAAAATTGTAAATTATGTGATATTGAGTATTGTAAATATTGTTTTGAATATTCAACTAATGATTTAAATAAATGTACATTATATTACAATTTTATTTAATTTGATAAGGATGAATTTCATAAAATAGGTTGTGCTCTTTGTGAAAATGGATTTATATTTGATTTTAATAAAGGTAAATGTCTATACAATAAACCATCTATTTAGAATTGTATAAGATCTTATTTAAACTTAGATAATATGGAAATTTGTACATTATCTTAAATTGATGATTTTTAAATTGCTCCTGAGATTAATAATTGTTTTAATTATATTGAGAATTGTAAATAATGTATTTAAACTCCATATAAAGAAATTAAATGTATTTTGTGTGAAGATGGTTATACTGCTTCAATTCAAACAGGATTATGTTATTAATGTTCTATTGTAAATGTTAAAACTTGTATAGAAGGATAATTTGATTTATAAGATGGTTGGATACAATTAGTTTAAAGCTTTCTAATGCAATTTCGAAATAACTATTTTTATCCCACAACTTAAAATATCAATAAAATTTCTGAGTTACCTATTGAATGTTAAGATGGATTTTAAATTATTTCAAAATTTAAATGCATTTAATACTGTGATCCAAGTTGTTTATCATGCATAGAATAAAATAGTTAATTCCATTGTAATTAATGTCCTTTAAACTATTATAAATAATCGATTAAATCTTCTGAAAACGGTAAATGTATTAAATGCTCTTAATTATGTTTGGTTTGTTAATCAAGAACAAAAGAAGAAATTAATGTATAAATATTTTATATACACTAGAAAATAAATCCTAAATTTGAAATAAATAATTCAAATTAGTTTTACACCCATAAATGTTTGGCAAAAATCTAAGATAAAAATATTGCTATAGATCCTTATACAAATATAGCCAATTATTGTTATAATTCTTAATGCTCTGATAATTTAGTATTTAATGTATTGAAAATAATTAAATATTAAGGTTGATGTAATATGTAGCAAATTAGTTGAGTTATTTGATGAGAGATTTCCTGAAAATTATGAAAAAAAGATTAATATTAAATATTGNTGATGGCTAAATATCAAAATAGATAAAGGAAATAAAACAATACTTTATTTCAGATAGTAATGAAATTAATTTTTGCTCATGGTGCAATAGTTTTGATTATTCTTTATATGAAGATTATTAGTTTCATACATAAGAATTCTAATAATTATGTCTAACTACTGATATTGATAAATTATCAATAGAATAGAAATAGAAATGCTATAAATGTGATTTAGTAAATTGTCTAGTTTGCAAAATAACTCTTTTTAATTTGGAATGTATTTAATGTAAAGAGTTAATGGTATAAATAAATGGAAAATGTTAATTATCATTCTTAAACCCACAATCTTAAAGTTGTATTAAACCATATTATTTTGATTCATAAAAAAATTGTAAATTATGTGATATTGAGTATTGTAAATATTGTTTTGAATATTCAACTAATGATTTAAATAAATGTACATTATATTACAATTTTATTTAATTTGATAAGGATGAATTTCATAAAATAGGTTGTGCTCTTTGTGAAAATGGATTTATATTTGATTTTAATAAAGGTAAATGTCTATACAATAAACCATCTATTTAGAATTGTATAAGATCTTATTTAAACTTAGATAATATGGAAATTTGTACATTATCTTAAATTGATGATTTTTAAATTGCTCCTGAGATTAATAATTGTTTTAATTATATTGAGAATTGTAAATAATGTATTTAAACTCCATATAAAGAAATTAAATGTATTTTGTGTGAAGATGGTTATACTGCTTCAATTCAAACAGGATTATGTTATTAATGTTCTATTGTAAATGTTAAAACTTGTATAGAAGGATAATTTGATTTATAAGATGGTTGGATACAATTAGTTTAAAGCTTTCTAATGCAATTTCGAAATAACTATTTTTATCCCACAACTTAAAATATCAATAAAATTTCTGAGTTACCTATTGAATGTTAAGATGGATTTTAAATTATTTCAAAATTTAATTGCATTTAATACTGTGATCCAAGTTGTTTATCATGCATAGAATAAAATAGATAATTCCATTGTAATTAATGTCCTTTAAACTATTATAAATAATCTATTAAATCTTCTGAAAATGGACAATGTATTAAATGCTCTTAATTATGTTTGGTTTGTTAATCAAGAACAAATGAAGAAATTAATGTAAAAATATTTTATATACACTAGAAAATAAATCCTAAATTTGTAATAAATAATTCAAATTAGTTTTACACTCATAAATGCTTGGCAAAAATATAAGATAAAAATATTGCTATAGATCCTTATACAAATATAGCTAATTATTGTTATAATTCTTAATGCTCTGATAATTTAGTTGTTAATGTATTGAAAATTATTAAATATTAAGGTTGATGTAATATGTAGCAAATTAGTTTAGTAATTTAATGAGAGATATCCTGAAAATTATGAAAAAAAAGTTAATATTAAGTATTGTAATGAATTTGGAGTAAAAAAGATTGTTATCAAATTAAATTTTCACATTATTTAAATGGAAAAATGTGCACCATTTACAAATATTTTCTAGATTCGCAACTAATTTAAATAGAAAATATTTTCCCTTTAATAAGCACATCTATAAATTAATGGAAACTAACATCAAGAAAATAAATTCATAGGAATATTAGAAATTTATAATTATGATACAGTAGAAATAAATTAAATGTAGTTTGTTAATGAGAACCCTGCTTATTTTTAATTAAGTAATGATGATAAACCTGTAGATTTAGTTATAATGAACACTCTATTTTAAACTAATTTTTAAATACAAGAAACATATTAAATTAAATTAAACTAATATCACAAACTTATCCTTAAAAATGTGACATTTAATTAAATTAATATAGTAAATTAATCTCTTATTAATTGTTCTTAGTTTGATTCTAATAGTGAAATATTTATAGAAAATTTACTAATTCACAATTCCCAATTTATCAATAGTTATTTATTAAGTAATATTAATTTTCATAATAAAATAACTATTAAATATTTTTAAATGATCAAATGTTAAATTATAAATAGTAATATTTTTTAATTTAACACCAATTTTACAACTTAAGTTGATATAATTAAAATGCATATTGAATAATGCTATTTCACAAAATCAACTTTTATAAATATTAAAGGAAATTTGTAAATCAATTTTATCAAAACAGAATTTTATAAAAATAGATTTTAAAATTCATCTATTTTTCATGTTAACTAAAGATTATAATTCTCTTAAACCTCATTGAAATAAAATGATTTTATTAATTCTATATTTATTCTTATTGATCAAACATAAGAAGAAAAATCTTTAATAGAAGTAAGTGATTTTTTTATAGAATATAATACATTTTCTAATTCAATATTATTGGAATTAGATGTTAAAGAGAATTAAGCAGAAATATATTTTACTAATTTTTATCTAGTTGGAAATATGAGATCAAATGAAGAAACAATACAAAAGAGTTTATTTTATTTACATTCGATATTTTTTAGGCTTTAAAATTGTTCGATTTAAAAACAAAATTCCTTAAGTAATTTTTAATTATTTGAAGTAAATAGTATACAAATTTACAATGTAACATTATCTTACTTTATATAAACTACTATACTTCCTTTGAGATAAAATTGCACAGATAATATTGAAAAAAACCAGTTGCTCTTAATATAAGGATTTTAAAATATTGAGATGAGATTAATTAGAATAGAAAATTAAACGAGCATTGATAAATCATTTATTTAGATTTTAACTAATGTCTTATAATTTTAAAATACTATTTAAACTATATATATTGAGAATGTGATATTTTTTGGAAATATAATCTAAAAATTTACTTAAGGGGAATTAATATCTTTATTATCGATATATTCAGAAAAGAATTAAACAATCACCTTTAAAAATTTATATTTTAGGGAAAACTTTTATAATCAAGTTCCTGATGATGCTTCCTCTAACTCTGCAGGTCTTATTTATGTAAATTCTTAGCATAGTCTAGTAAATTTTCAAAATATTTCTTGTTATTAAAATGGTTTAATAAATTCAACAAGCTCCTTTATTTTTATAAGTTCCACAAAAATTGATATAGCTAATATATCTATTAAAAATCATAATATTTTATCGCCTGATATTTGGAGAAAATATTGTTAAATAGAATTATAAAGCAATCTAGAAGAGAATGAAATTAATATATTTTTTCAATCGATATTCTAAATAAAAAATAAAGGAGGGGGACTGTAAATTATGACAAAAAATTTACACATTACATAAGGATACTTTGAAGATATACTTTCCTAAAGTAGCCAAGTTATTGATATTATTACTTAAGAATCTGGTATAATTAAACTTGAATAAATAAAGATTTAATCAATACAAACCATATAAAATTCTGATTCCCAAGGATGTATAAGTATATATTCTAAGAATAGCTTATTAAATTTTTAGCTAATTAATACAAGCTTTTCAAGAGTTCATAATAGATTAAACTCTGCTATTCTTACAATTACTCCATCATTGACTTCAAATTTTATTAAGATCTAAAATGTTAAATTGAAGGATTGTATCTCTTTAACAAATCAATTTTTTAAAATTGATTTTTCATATACAAAATCAGACTTATATAAAGTTATAATAAAAAATCTAACAATAATTTAAAATGATTAAGCTTGGATTCAATATTTTTATATAATCCAATAAATCAGCTCAGTTGAGATAGATAAGATTACTAATGATAATGCAGTTATTAATTTATATGGGTGTCATCTTATTATTGATGGATTGAATATAGAAGGAACATT